TGCAAAACATTTATTTTCCTTACAAATCGAAAGGTACAAAACAAATGCCTCTGGTGGGAGCTCCGTTTATATTCCCTTTGTGTTACAACAAAAGATAACATTAAAACGGCGACGATCAGAAAACTGTTGCTCCACGCCCTGCTTGCTTACCTAACCTTTTACCCACACCCCTCCGCATGCGGGCCAAATACACACCCCCTTTACGACATCTACCAACACTTTACAACAACAGACTAACAAAGCAGGATTAATTTATGGAGCACAGCATATTACATTATAACCTAAAATGATCAAGATTATAATAAAAACTTAAAGATCATGACAAATACTTAAATATGGCATGATGTAACTGAGTAAAATATTGGCCTGGACTTGGCTCCAACATCCTGTACACCCTCATCCTCTAGGATCTGCTATAGAAAATCTATCTACAATAACTATTCTTGGTTAATCACCAAACTTTTCAGATCAGTTGAGATGAGGATTCAAATACCATGTGAAACAAATTAATATCAATGCACATAAAACAGATGGAAATTCCAGCTTATCAGTGGATTTCTTCCTACTGCAGTTTCTGATACTTTTGGTCATTCAAGGGTAAAGCAATAATATGCATGGATATAGTTTCAGTAAAAAATGCTATGAAATACCAGTGATGTGATATATATGCAACTGTACCACGAATATATAGGGTGGGAAAAAGTTTCCTTCACATGTCACTTTTGTTGACCCTCCACTTTTCCATTGCCTTACATAATTTTTTCTAATTTGACACTTTGTTTTCAGCATTGGACAGACATTTACCTCTCATGGAACCCAGACAGCTACCCTGGGGTTCAGAATCTCCGTTTCCCTTCAAATCTAGTGTGGGTCCCAGATATTCTTCTGTACAACAGGTATGTTACATTCTCATCTTTTTGAGTTGGTCTTATCAGGCTAGTGATTGGGTCACTTCATTGCTTTCCAGTAACATTTGTTCATTTATTTTACTGATTAGAACCATGCTCATCTAGCAGATCCAACTATAAGTTAATATATAGATCTTCTAATACCATTAGAAGAACATGCCTTGCTCAAATGGCTTTTAACTATTTCAACCGGAAACAGAAAAAAATCTTCTTTAACAAACAAACAAACAACTATTCAGACTTTTGACAACTTAAAACTGAATACAATTTGATATATACTTTTTCCATTATCAGTCATAAAGGACTGAGAAAAGAAAATTGTGTTTTTGGACAGAGCGTTCTCACTCCCGAGGCGTAACATGTCGACGTTTTGTCACGTCCCGCGGCGTTCCTGAGGAACGCGAAAGGAGACCTTCGGCGTTCTTATGGTACGCGGCGGGTTATGGCTGGAATCCAGTGCAATGACGCTCCCGCGGGAGTAGACGTTCCAGCCCTGTATTCCAGCCCTAAACCTAACCTTATCCCTGGCCCTGACCATAACCTTATTCCTGACCTTAACCAGGACTTTAATGATGTTAAATAGCGTGTTTCTAAGCGATTTGAAGAATAAGAGCGAACATGTGTAGGTTCAGTCCAGACGGTTCTCATATTTCCTCTTTTTCCGAGGTCGTCATTTAGGAACGTGGTGGGTAGCCGAAAACGTAATATGGTGACGATTTGTCACCTAGCGTAAAATGTTACGCTTTGGGAGTGAGAACGGGTTGTTTTGGAGCTTGCAGAAGCCAAAACTTGAAAGCCATCTTCTGGCTAAAATGTCAATGTGAAGGGTAAAAAACACAATTTTGAAATGACAGCAAATCAATAATCATGACTAGAATTTGTTAGTCCAATTTTGGTAATTAGCAATTTATTTTACCATGTTAAAATACTTATTCATCAATTAATTGGCTACAACAGTAATATAAAAAGCTTACAAACTATTTCAGACCAAATTAAGTAAAACATTTCATAATGTCTTTTCAAACGTAGTTTCTCAGGCAATAGTTGCTAAATTTACCCATTATATAATTTGCAGTCCATGGGCATGACAACTTACACAGTTCTTGGTATTTCACCATTTTGTATTTAAAATTGTTCACATGGTAAAGTGCAGTGAATTAGAGTGGGTATTTAATAAAGTGTACTGACTTTAAGCAAATGATAAGGACAGGCAACCCACATTACAAAACCTCCACTTTGCTGTTAATTACATCATACTGCCCACTAGAATAATCAACACTGTTTCCTCAAATTGATTTTTACCATTTAATTTTTCATTAGATTTCATTATATATTTTGGTTTTTACATTTTCTCTCTTTCGCCATTCTTCTTCTATGTAGAAAAATATGCTTTCTTTTGTGAATGGACACAACACTACACTGCCATGTATCTGTGTATCCAAAAACACAGCAGAATGAAAGATTCTATAGATGAAATATCACTCTGCTTACAGTATCATTTAATTAAATGATCGAGCCAATTCCCTCTTTGGGGAATAAACCATAACTCCTTTTAGGCTTTGCATCTGTTTCCAGTAACAGCATAGGACTCTGACTACTGAAAGCACTGTGCCAAGTGGGTAAAATTGCCAGTGCTTTGGCTAGTTTGAAAACTAATAACGATTCAAGCTTCAGAAGAATAGAGAGAATTTAAGCTATATTCTGTACTACCTTTATTTATTTGGAGAATTCTTCTCTTCTCTTAATTCCATGTTTTAGGCCCTGTCACCGTGGTTGTAGATGAGGTTCAATTCAATAATGAACCACAGGCTCTTGGAAACAGCCATCTGAACAAGCTCATTTCTTCCTTTATCAAAGAATTGGGCTTTAATAGCACAAAGGGGAAATAATCTGTCTCTTGAACACTGGCTCACTGGCTTCTCTGATACAGAGGTCAATAGAACAGAACCTCTTTTCTTTCAGCATATTTGGCTGGACATGAGGCTCCTGTGCTCATTGTCCTGCTTGGCTAGATTGAAGAAATACAAAGCGCTTGGGCTGCTTTCACAATGTCATCTAGATCTGGTCAGATTTAAGAAGAATTCAAGCACCTCACATTACTGCCAGTGACTGACTTGATCATTTTCCAGAGTCCTTTGCATTTTGACCTTTTCTGTGGCACCAGTGTTGTCCTCAAACAACCTGATTTTAGACTTTTATAACATATACTGACAGCTGCCTACACAGTAAACAAATAACACAGAACATTTACCCTTTTGCAAAACAGCTGTGACATAATAAAAATCAACAGCAACACCCAGTGTGCCTCTGTGGGGCACATCAATCATGATTTTGTCTACAAGCATTTGCTGAGAAAAATAGATAAATAAATAAAGTCAATAAATAGTGAAATAATATTCACTTCAGAGAAGAATTTGGTAGGTGTCTTGAAACACTTAAAATTCCTTTGAAAATTGCAGTAAAATATCTTAGGAGTTGCAACAACAGACAATTTTAGGAAGGTTATTTTTTTATTTTTTTATTTTATTGGCCATAGTAAGTAATCGTTACAGTTTAAACTGCAAAGTGGAAGACAGTTCTAGTTCTTACTTAAGGATGTCCACTTGCTAAACATTAATCAAAGAAATGTGCAAGGCAAGGCCACTTGAGGAAACGCTGAAGTGGTATTTATATAGTGCTCCAGTTTATGTGACTAAAACAGACAGCTATGTAATTGTGGATCATTATTAACCTGTCAAAACAGATGATATTAAACAGGGCATCAGCGCTTCACTTAACTCCTTGCAGCAATACACTGCTTCTTGCTTACAAAGAAGTAGACTTGCGATGGGAAAAAGACAACAGGACACAAGATAGAGGTAGATTTGACTCCTGATGTTTCTGTTTCAGCTTCTTTAAGTTGATTAAATATTCTTTCATAAGGGAGAGATAGTGACAGATTTACAGCTTACCTATGACTGAGTGTGTCAGGGCTCGTGTGCGGAGGCGAGGAAGGGATGACCCACATGCAGGACTCGTGGTGCAGAACGAGGTTTATTGAATATGTAGACAACAGATGATAGGATGGCTGGCTGGACTTAGTGGACTGGTAGACTGGCTGGCTAACTGACTGGACGGAACACACACGACAGAAACAACATCATCAATGACCCGACACTGAATGGGTAGAACAGAGGGCTTAAATACACAGACTGGTGATAATGATGATAATGAGGGACCGGTGAGTACACAGCTGAACATAATGAACTAATGATAATGGGAAGAGGATTGAACATAATACACACAGACCAAGGCTAACACAATAAAACAGGAAGTGGAACAGGCAGTAGATAAACAGTGAGTGTGAACTGAAAACACTGGGTCACCGACCCAGGAACCCTGACAGGACCCCCCCCTTCAAAGGCCGGCACCCGACGGCCAAACGAAAAAGAACCAGAACAGGGCAGGCGGAGGGGGCCCAGGACAGAGGGACGGAGGCCACACAGAGACAGTTCGGGAGGTCGGCAGTGCGGAAGGCAACGGCGGCCAGTCAAGCGAAGGCGGTCCGGGGGCCGGCCGCGCGGAAGGCAGCGGCGGCTCTCCAGTTTTAGGCGTGCTGGCCATGGCCCGGTGGGCACAGGACCAGACGAGGCAGGATCAGGCGAAGCACAGGCCGGAGCTGCAGCAGGCGAAATAAAAGCCAAAGTCGAGGCCGGGCCAGACGAGGACGAAGGCTCCGAGGCCGGGCCAGACGAGGACGAAGGCTCCGAGGCCGGGCCAGACGAGGACGAAGGCTCCGAGGCCGGGCCAGACGAGGACGAAGGCTCCGAGGCCGGGCCAGACGAGGACGAAGGCTCCGAGGCCGGGCCAGACGAGGACGAAGCAGAGCTAGGTGACAGCGAGGCATGAGGCTGGTGCGGTTCCCCTGAACCCCCAGTTGACGAAGAAGGTTGCCGGACGGGCTCCTCGGGCCCTCCAGCGAAAACGGTCTCAGAACCAGTGGGCACTGGAGCCCCTGGCACACACAGGACAGGGCCAGCGGGTGCGGAAACCCCTGGCTGAGGAGCGGCCGGGCCAGCGGGTGCGGAAACCCCTGGCTGAGGAGCGGCCGGGCCAGCGGGTGCGGAAACCCCTGGCTGGGCAGCAGGGTAGCTCACAGCAGGCTCTGGGTACTGAACAGGTTGGTGGACGGGCGACTGGGCCACTGGTGACTGGACAGGAGGCGACTGGGCCACTGGTGACTGGACAGGAGGCGACTGGGCCACTGGTGACTGGACAGGAGGCGACTGGGCCACGGGTGACTGGACAGGAGGCGACTGGAGAGCAGGTGAGTGAACTGACGGGGCTGGAAGCTGAACAGCAGGTGAGGCTGACGACGGAGCTGAGGTTGGTGTGGCTAATGGCTGGGCTACAGACTGAGCTAATGAGGGAGATAAAGCTACAGCCTGAGCTAGTAAGGCCGGTGCCTGAGCAGGGGACACTTCAGCCAGCCTAACCAGGGATAAAGCTAGTGCGTGAAAGGCTGGGTCAGGAGGTGGATGAAGTGGTGGACTGATTAGCTCTTCCGTGCCTCCAGAGCGTGAGGGCACTGGCTGGAGAGCCTCAGCTGAGTCTCTAGGGGGGTCAGACTGGATCCTGGCCGTCCTCAGCCTAGGTGCTGGGACAGGCACGGGAGGTGGCTGGACACCAGTCACCCCCACTCGAGAAACCGAAGCGGGTGTGGCGGTAGACTGGGTCGCAGCTGCCCTCCTCCTGGGAGCTGGCACTGGTGTGGGGGTAGACTGACTGACGGGAGTGGAGATAATGACTGGGTGTGTGATGTTAGCAGGTTTATTGGGGATTGTTCTGGTTTTCCTGCCACCACTATTTACAGTCTTTGGGAGAGCAGAGCAGAACAAATCTTCCCAGTCCACAGAATCTTCCAGGAGGGAAACATCCCACGAATCAGAGATGGGGTTATTGTGCGTTTTGAGTGAATAATCAGATGGTGAGTGCGAAAAACAGTCACTGGAGCTCACCATCGGGAGTGGCTGAAAGTGGTCCGTTTTATGGCGGCGTGTGCGCCGATTTCTCCGGGAGGAGGAAGCGGGCGGGGTACACGTCCGAGCCTCTGGCACGGGAGCCTCTGTTGAGCCGAGGTGGAAGACGGAGCCGCTGTGCCGTGGCGAGGTTGAAGGTCCGGTGAATGAGGCAGGTGATGTGTGAGCGTGGAGCGGAGTGGCGAGAGAGGGAGCGGCCGAAGCGCGGCGTGAAACGTCCACTCTCCGCGGCAGATGCTCCGGTGCAGGTGAGGCAGCAGGTGGGGGAACGCGGCGTCTCCGAGGCCCGCCCAGAGCCAAGCGAGTGCCCTCGAAGACGTGCTCTCGCTCCGCGAAGAGCCGCTGTCTCTCCTTGAGTTTTTCAGCCCACAAGGAGAGCGCTACCTCCTGCCGCTCGTAGAGGTCCGAGTCCGCTGGGTCAAAAGCGTGTCTTCTTGGCACGGGTCGGGTCATTCTGTCAGGGCTCGTGTGCGGAGGCGAGGAAGGGATGACCCACATGCAGGACTCGTGGTGCAGAACGAGGTTTATTGAATATGTAGACAACAGATGATAGGATGGATGGCTGGCGGACTGACTGACTGGACGGAACACACGACAGAAACAACATCATCAATGACCCGACACTGAATGGGTAGAACAGAGGGCTTAAATACACAGACTGGTGATAATGATGATAATGAGGGACCGGTGAGTACACAGCTGAACATAATGAACTAATGATAATGGGAAGAGGATTGAACATAATACACACAGACCAAGGCTAACACAATAAAACAGGAAGTGGAACAGGCAGTAGATAAACAGTGAGTGTGAACTGAAAACACTGGGTCACCGACCCAGGAACCCTGACAGAGTGAGAGAGAATGAGTGAGAAAGAGGGATGGAAGCAAGAGCTCTGGGTGTCTACAAGGGATGATACAGAACATTAAGCGGCTTACAGTAGGGATAACTGATAATGATCAATATGCTCCTGACAGAGACCTAGATTGTAAATGACATTCTTCATGGATTCAACATAAATCTGGAGTAAAATCATTTACTCTTATTTTTATGAATCAAGAAAGCAAGCATGAGAGGAGATTAAAATTATGAGAAGATGTAGTTTTACAAATCCCTAATGGGAAACTAGGTCAGTGCAGTGGCAAGGCTTTAGCACACACATTTTTTTTTTTAAATTCAAAGTGACAGGACCACCCTCATTCCACCCACACCAAATCTCGACATTAAACCTCTATCCCCCATGTCAGAGAGATTTACCACTTCACTGCTAAGGGTTAGTAGGTAATGGGCATTGCAGGTTTTGGTTGCATAGGGAACAATCTAATGTATTTACCAACTTGTCAGATGTCAATTATTGGTATCCTTCACTCCCAGAAGGAATCACATCAAATGATCTTTTCAAAATTAAGATACTTTTAGGTCAGGATCTGCCCACTTTGTGTCACAAATGTTTACTGTCTTTACTACTATGCCCCTTAAACACAACATGAAAGCCATGGGAATCAGGACTGTTGGGCCAGCTGACAATAAGCTACAATGGTATACACTGGAGCCAGCTGAGGTGGTTCGGGCATCTGACAAGGATGCCTCCTGGGTGAGGTGTTCCGGGCATGTCCCGCCGGGAGAAGGCCCCGGGGCAGACCCAGGACACGCTGGAGAGATTATATCTCTCAGCTGGCCTGGGAACGCCTTGGTGTTCCCCCGGATAAGCTGGAGGAGATGGCTGGGGAGAGGGAGGTCTGGGCCTCTCTGCTTAGGCTGCTGCCCCCGCGACCCGGCCTTGGATAAAGCAGATGAAGATGGATGGATGGATGGTATACATAGACCTTAAGTCAATCTTCAGACCATTCAGCCCTTTGTGCAAAAAATAAATTCTTATTTATTTATTTTATCACAGACAGCATGATGATGATGGCAGCGTAAAGTGCGCTCCTTCCCAAGTGGTGGACTCTAATGCAAGTGCACATTTCTAGTAGATTATATTCTGGATTGTGGATATTCAGAAATGCTACAAGTTCCAAGTCTTTAGCCATGGTTGGCACTTCACTTGACCTTTCTTTCATCTGACCCTGGTCAGAGTAAAACCTGGATCAAGCATCTTTGCTTTGGTCCCATCAGCCTCACATCAGCCCCTAAGATTTACAAAGTCTAAGCCCAGGTCAACCATGCTCATGTTCAACCCTCAAGGTAAGTCTGGGACTATGAAGTCTGACTGGCAATGTAGAATGTCTCCTCTCTGGTGGGGAAGACGCAGCAGACAGTATAGGAAGTGAAAAGATACCAATGATCATATTCCTTCTACTGGTGTAGAGGTGTTTAGTTGGACTTTTATCTGAGAGAACAAAAAGGGTAAACCCTATGCAGCTGCACTTCTCAAAAAGGGTGATTATTTTTTTATGCTTATGAAGCAAAAACCAGTTCAAAGAATTTCATCTTATTGGAGTCTCTGAGTGGGACATTAAGGATTCCTGGCTCAGGACTTGTATCAGATACTGTTTGATCATAAGGTAGTTCATACAACAACACCTTAGGACAAAGATCAGTGGATTGACTTTGATATTATTTCAGAGAATGTGCATTTTAATGTACCACTTTTTGTATCCTGGATAGTCTTTTTCTGTTTCTTTTTTCTAAAGAAAGTTAGTGACTTTGACTTAGTCAAGAATTTTTGAACACTAGGTCCAGAAAGTAGGGACAGTTGTAATTTTGTATTTGCTTGTGTCAGCACATAAACAAATCAATAATCTCCTCACATGAATAAAATATGAATACAATGACAATTCCTCTCTGTCAAAGACATGGATTTGAATATTTCATCATTTATAGATATCTGGAAAGCTTGAATACAAAAAGACTAAGCTTTCTACTTTTCCCATGTAAATAGTATAGACCATTTATCTGTAAAGAAGCATTACTTTTTTATATTATAGCTAGTTATCTAAAAGATAAATTGCTGACACACACTACAACAGTGTTTGACAAGAATGATATGTCAGTCCAGACCGTGTCATTGCATTTCTCCACTGACTATTGAAACCAGACTTCATATTCTATACTGCTATGTGAGAAACATATTTAAAGTTACAGTGCAGTAATGACCAATTTAATTTAAGTAATACTTTACTTCCATTTATGATTTATACATTTTCTTTTTCACTTTTAATACTGGGATATTACACTTTTGGAATTATTTATTGCTATAAAGTAAAGTTTTTGAAGAATCCCATTAAGAAAAAACTCAATAAAAAGTCAATTGGGATTTAAGACATATTGTAGTTTTCATGTGATCTTTTATTAATATGTGATCTAATTAAATGCGGTTAAAGTTATACATCAAGGAATCATTAATGCCTGGGTCTCTGTGTGCTGTACATTATTCAAGTCATTGTCTTTCATATTAAACATTTATATTGGCATTTTGAGAGAGGGTTTAGTAAATGAAAAATGAAATGTTTTTATTTCAATTTTTAATGCTTTAATTTGTCCATGTGAGGTAGATGTATTCCAGATACCATTACAAGGCTAAATGCTAAGATCATTTATTCTAGGCAATGGATGAGAGCTACTCTGAAATATCTCTGTCTTCCACCCTTTAAGTGAAATAAATGATTAGATATAAATTATGGATGTAGCATTATAAATCTGCATCCATTAAAGCTTTGTCCTGTTACACGTCTTCTGGATTCAGTCCCAAAAACTTTACTAAAATCTATACTCCACCCACAAAGCAAAAAGCTTGTCAGAAGAATTTGAAATGTTGTTTAAATGTTCCTCACTCTCCAGTTGCATATAGTCTCATGCTACAAGCAGTAAATATTTACTAATGGAAAATAACAGTGCGGTTTGAACTGTTGTCTGAGTTGCATTAACATTCATTCATCCTTTAAAATGAGATATATTGAGTTGCCAGTGCACCTCATTCAGTTTTCCTTTTTAAGAGGTCACAGCATACTGAAATATGTGAATTAAATATTATACTTGTTATGAATACATGGATAAATAGGTATAATTGTATGCCATTTACCGGTTCATTACTTTTGCAAGGAGGCTGTTTTCAGTCCATATGCTTTGTCCAGTTGGTAGTTTTTCCCCTTCTTTTCCATCTCATTATCCAGCATAAACAAAACTCAAAAGTGTTTACAACCGTGATAGGGTATACTTATACACAGGAGGCTTTGAGCTAAATGATAAAATTATATGCTAATTACTCATGATGACCGTGCTAACATACTCAGATGCTTGGCAATTTAGTTTAGTTCTTTCCATTTGATGACCTCATTGACAAGTTTTGACATCTGACAAGTATATTTCAATCAAGATGTGTTTTAATGAGTCAACAGATTTTTTCAAGCTAATCCCTACCCATCCATTCACTTCCACTTATCTTTTCCAGGGTCGAGGGGGGCGCTGGAGCATATCCCAGCTGTCATAGGGCGAGAGGCGGGGTACACCCTGGACAGGTCGCCAGTCTGTCGCAGGGCTAACACATAGAGACACAGACAACCATTCGCACTCACATTCACTCACAGATTCAGTCTAGAATTTATTAAAAGCTACACTTTTTTATATTTTTCACATGCTTACTTTTACAACAATGAATAGAGGTCACTGTTGCTCGCACAGTGAAATTGGCTTCAAAGAACATGCTTCACCAAAAAGTCATAGTGATTGCTTTGATTACTCACAGTTGCCTGTGATTTTGCATGTTTGACCTCAAATACTTGGTAACTACTAGCTGAGGGACAGTAACACTTGAGTTTTACTACAACTGAGAGATTAGCTGCACAAGTCTGTCACTTCCATGGTTATTCCACTGGTCATTGACCAGTCTCTGCACCTGCAACTGTTTTCCTAGTGACACCCTCCATCAACCTCCATCATCCACTTGCAACCTGCCAGTTCCCAGATGGGTCCTGACCAGTCTGTAGAGCTGTATGACTGGGGCATTGTTAATTTTATCCCACATTGCAACCATAATTGTTAAGACACCTACAATGAATGAAGTTAATGTCACATACTAATCTCAACATAATATGAGTCAGTGGTAGCTCACTATCTAACAGTGGCATGGTTTAATTTGACTGTTAGATGTTAATTAGTTGTTGGTATATTAAACTGTCAGTGTAGAAGACTTTATTATTAGCATGTGTGTTGTCAGAAGCTCAATAGATACAATTTCAGCATGACACAATCAAATCAGCCTAACAAAGCAAAAGTATTCTTCAACTGACTTCTCAGATACTCTTCTGGTTATTTTTACTCTCTGAAAGAAACATTAATCAGTTTTTGTGTTCCAGAGATTTTGAGCATGCGAAATAGATAATCCCTGGTCTGCTTGAAGGACGTCTTGGTAACAGACGACCGTGTTTATTTAACATGATGAGCAAAATTAAACACACTCTGTCTGGATCTTCACTAATCCCCCTTGTCTCTGCCTTCTGTCACCTTCATTTACCACTTGATGTTTTTTTGTCTATCTTTACTTTTGTAGTTGACTCTGACTCAGCTTAATAACTTCTATTCTCTTCTTTCTGTGTGTTTTTCTCTTCCATTTAATTGTTATGATAAAATGCCCCATTTAACTACTCTTGTCCCCCTATAGTGCTGATGAGAGGTTTGATGCCACGTTCCATACAAATGTGCTGGTCAATGCTTCAGGAGCTTGTCAGTACATTCCACCAGGTGAGACATCCCAGATATTTCTATATTCTTACACTACCGTCCCACACTACTCCCAACATGCTAAATCCAAATTGTCATCATCTTAGGGACATCATTATCTCAACATCATCATTACTGTTATCACTGCCATCAACACCCTTCTCATTCTCACCTCACTGTTCTGGTGAACAATCTCTATTCAGATTCCCAAGACAATGTCATTTTACAATCACTGAACATTAGAGACTGTTTCCACTTCCTCCACATACCAAAGTTGTTCCATTTGATATAGATCTAGTGACTCGGGGGGCCATGGAAGATCACTGAACTCACTTTCTTGTTCACAAAGACAGAATTGGATTGCTGTCTTGCATTGTTTTACTGCAACAGCCATTGGAAGATGGTAAATTATGGGTATAAGAAATATATGGTCAGCAAAAATATTCAGACTATAGCATGCAGACATACAAGTTCAAGTTTGCAGAGAAAACTGTTATACCACTACAACCAACTTGGATTATTAACACAAGCTAGCTCTAGCCTCAGCATTGTCTTCTTGGCTGACAGGAGAAGAGCGCGTCATGGTCTTCCACTTATTATGCTTTCTAAAGGGCTTACCATCATCTTTCTGTCAGCTTTAACTAGTGTCACCATTCTCTTTTAGTCTTTTACATGCACTTTTCTGTTTGCAGAACTGCTGCTCACTGAGCAATTTTTGTAAACTCTGGAGATTGTTCTGGTGAAAATCTCAGGAGATCAGCAATTTCAGACTCACTCAAACTACCCTGCCTGGCATCAGCAAAGATGCCATGGCCACTGAACTCAAATACTCCCCCCCCCACCCCATCTAATGTTTGATATAACACTAACTAAAGCTCTTGATCTGTTTCTAGATCAGTATTTTTTGAATCGCAAAGCTGATGTTTATTTGTATTCTAAAAGGATATCAGTGCCTATAATAAATGGCTTGGAATATACTAGATTTTAGTATCAGAGAAGCATTTATTTAAAGTATGTTTAAGTAAAAATTGTCATGTAGAAGTAACTTTTTATTATTTTAAAAATAAATATTTACATAAAAAAACTGATTGAAAGTAATTTATCTGCAGGTATCTTGAAGAGTACCTGCTACATCGACGTTCGGTGGTTCCCGTTTGATATTCAGAAGTGTGACCTGAAATTTGGTTCCTGGACCCACAATGGTTGGTTGCTGGATCTCCAGATGATGGAAGTCGATGTCTCTACATATATACCCAATGGGGAGTGGGACCTTGTTGGTAAGAACGAAAACAAAATGTCATGCATAGATGCTGAATAAGAAAGACCCTGATAAGACTCTCACTGAGATTCAGCATTAACTATGTGAAACATCCAATCAGTGTCACACACAGCAGGTGTTTCAGCTGTGTTTCTTTCTTTGTAAGATGCCACTCTCTTAGTCAATCAGTCCACAACGAAGGGGTCTTTAGATGGTGTGAATAATGCAGCTTCTATTTACTATAGTACTAAATAAATCTTCAACAAATTCTGTTTCTGACAGCATTTCTGTACAATACAGGTGATGCTAATTTCAAATACTGATCACAACAGGTAGGCTAGCAAAGCTAAAAATAAAATCCATCAGAAGTAGTTAAAAAGAACTCTCTCAGTTCATACCTTCAAGCCTTTCAGAAGCATCTAGGAAATGACTCCAGCATTTTGCCTACAGTTAGGGTTAGGGTTGATGACTCAAATGGATAAAGCATATCAAAAAACATGGAAAGTTGCCCATCAAAGTGCCGTTTAAAATCATCCTCCTAACTTTATCCCTCATCCTATCAATATTTTTACCGTATATATTCCACTGCTTGTGTCTCCATATGGAAATAAAGAACTCATCCAGGTTTGGGTGTTAATCGGAGGCCAATGGAATAATTTCCAGACACAAACTGACTAACACACAGAGTTGGTGCACCCAGCTGGCTGGGGGAATAGATGGGGGGTTGTGAGTGTGTGTGGTGACAGCTGGCCTAGGGATGGTTCACTTAATTCAGGCACAGCCAGGCAGCTAGCTGGCCAAGAACACACACTGTCCTGGTGCCTTAGAACATGCCCATGTTCATGCAAGAGTGCAAACACACACTCAAAAGCAAGCAGACACGCATTGTTTCACTGTCTCAGGGGGTAACTCATTAAATTAAGCCATTCCTGAGCCCATTAACCTAATCTGAACTATCACAACTGAATGCCTCACCCCCACCCTTCACCTATTTATAACCTTTACCCTAAAACCAACTCTTATCCCCAAAAAGCAGTCTGGACCCTTCGGGACTGCACTTTTAAGTCTCTAGGGTGACACACGTTCCCATGGGTTAGTGTTCTGTCAGGTTAAAGTCCCTAAAGGGAATGGAGGACATGACCCCATACAAGTGAGCGCACGCACACGCGCACGCACACACACACACACACACACACACACACACACACACACACACACACACACACACACACACACACACAAGATCTGGTAAATGCATCTGCAGGTCTACAATCCATCAAATTAATAGAAACTAACAAAGGCTATTTCTCTTCGGCAAGCGGGTGACAAGAGTTTTAAATGAAATGAAATTGAATCCGAGCAATCAATTTAAACTGAATTCCTATAGGAAGTAAGGCTCACACACGCAGTGATAATATCAAGTGTTTTCTGTTACTGACTTGAAAAAAGTTGTGCATTTTGACTGTATTGTTGATTGTGTCATTTTCACAATCAATTAATTGCTATTAGAGGTGTATAATGCTGGGTAAACCATACACAGGCAGCACTCTTGTGGGTTGACTTTTATTCATCACTGATTGTTGATTGTAAGCTACACATGACTGCCTGGCAGTCACACATACTCACACAGAGGTCCTTGATTGATGATATTAATCCAGAGGACAAGCTAACATTGTCTGCATTCCACCTTAAAATGATTATACATATGAAATAGATCTGCTATTGTTACTGATCATTTAGCTATACAATTGTTCTTGTACTTGTAGTTTTTCTGACTATGGCCAATGTGATGTTGATTTCTGTTACTGACCTTTTAAAAATCAAAATATATCTATGCCAACAACAAAGATAAAACTATAGTGTTGAACATGGCAGATGACTGCTTTTTGGAGATGTAGCTGGGTAATCTGAAGCATTTACTAACATTTGCAGGTTTTAACATTTTGTGGCAGTCCTTTACTCTTGCTCGGCATATAATACAACCAATGATCATGGCACAATGCATTGCAGCTACAGCTAACTTTCCACAATCTCCAAAGATAATTTTATTTGAAACTATTTAAATTACAGCTAAAGATAAATACACGCTCCTTTTAGTTTTTGTTTATTTGTTTTTTACAAAAACAGAGTTACTGTTCAGATATATATTCTATATTTTCACTTTTTAGTCACCATGAAATGAACTTGAACATAAAATAAACTTTAGTGACTGCTTTTTAATGTCATTTTACTGTTTTCATTTAATTTTTTGTCTACCCTTACTTGTTTTGATACGTTGAACTAGTACTGTGTACAAAAGGTGCCTTTCAAATATGCTGTAAGGAACAGGAACTGTTGTTTGTCTGTAAAATAGATGTGGAAGTATTCATAAATTTTAATAGTTTATATTTGAAAGTTATCAAGCTGGTTTTGATCAAACAAATTCCAATAACAGGATGAAAAGATGGCCAGCTGGTCAGCAAACAGATTCAAAAGCCAATTACTGCTCTCAACAAATGGCTGTCATTTTAAAGCCATGAACTTGCAACTTCTATTTCAGTCTCTACTGTATGAGCAATTCTTTATACTGATTATAACTTCCTGCTAAACAAACAGGTGGAATGGATTTGAGATTATTAGGCACAAGTTGATTTTCTTTTGTTTTTGTTTTTTTCAAAGCAAGCTGCTTCCCAACATGATTAACTAAATTCCAGTCTGGACAAAATAATATTAATCTGATTGGTTAAAGTCTACAAATTTATGAAATACAGAAATTGAAAGAAGAAGAAAAAAGTACTATTATCATATTCATAAGTTTCCAACATCTTCTATAAAAAGTACAAGTTGGCTTTCCATAAAATGTAAAACATTATACTTCTACAAGTATTTTGCCTGTATTTATTTACATTTTAACTAATGCCTTTTTGTTAACAAGGCCATACATGAAATATGAAGAAATGTGCATTATTGGCTTATTTTACTGTTTATAAAAAAATATTCAGTCAAGCAGAAGAAAGAACTGGACCATTATTTCATAATTCTGTGTTTTTGACCTCTAAACTGACACCTTTTTACCCCTTAATATGTCTCCCAGGTGTACCAGCAAAGCGTAATGAGCTGTATTATGACTGCTGCAAGGAGCCCTACCCCGATGTGACGTTCACAGTCACTATGCGCCGCAGGACTCTTTATTATGGCTTAAACCTGCTCATCCCCTGTGTGCTCATCTCTGGTCTGGCACTGTTGGTCTTTCTGCTCCCTGCTGACTCTGGAGAAAAGATCTCACTGGGTACAGAGGATCACATACACATCAGGCCATCCTTGCACACAAAGACACAGATACACAGTTTCACGCAGAGGGACAATGATTCATGATTATATTCATACATGTAGACAAAAATGTGCCTTTCTCCCCTACTTTGGTCATCTCTGCCCACCAGACTGCAATTGCTTACCCATTTATTTGTCTTTGCTTTATGCTAGCGCTGACATTATTGCTTTGAATAAGCATTTGCTTTGAATTCTGTTCCTTAGCAGATGAACAAAAGCACCACTGTTAACGCAGCAAAGATAATCATGTGGACCTGAAAATGCCAGCTTGTTTCAAAATGCCATTCCGTGAGACAGGGCTGCACTAAATAGAAATGAGACAGTGCTCCTTTGACGGTGGATAAGATAGTAAATATTCCAAAAATAAATTCATAGCTTTTGTCACCTGTTTTGAAGACAACCAGCTGCATTTATTTTGAGTTCTCTCAAGTCACAATTTAACAGCAATAGAGATGTTTGATGAAATAATGTATCTAATGTGTGTCTGCCCTTTTTAGGCATAACGGTACTGCTGTCTCTGACAGTGTTCATGTTACTGGTAGCAGAGATCATGCCTGCCACTTCAGACTCAGTTCCTCTAATTGGTAAGACAATATTCAGCTCCTCGTAATGCTTTTATTGGTAATTATTTAATTGTTGGTTTAAAAACAACATTAAAGCAATTGTGAATTGTGAAGGTTTTCACAGGAACTTATGCAGTCTGAGTATGCACATCCCTCGATTCAGTGGCTTGTAGAACAACATTTAGCAGCAATAACTTGAAGCACTGATTGGTTTTCTATATGACTTCACTAGTCTCTAAAATAATTGTGAAGAAATCTTCTTTGCAAGGTTTATGGGGAGTTCTTTTAGGGTCTTATCATACCACTTCATTTGCTGAGTCAACTGCTAAAACCTCTGCTTTAATAGAAGCAATTGCAATTGTTGATAATCAGTTAACCAAGTCCATTTACACAGTAGTGCATAGAGACTGTACTCTGGTGTCCACCTAAAGACATGGATGTTAATTGGTGATTCTAAATTGGTTATGGATGCCAACACTAGAAAATGTTATTTAAATCACAATCTAATATTTCCATTTTCAAACATCCAAGAGCTAAAATGTGTGCTATTTTTAGTTTATTTTTAATTGATGGAATTGTTTTTACAATAAATAGGTAAGAAAATTATAATATATCATGACTTGCCCAAAAGGTGGAAAAGGTATAAAGTGCCACAGTGAGGGTAGTGGGTCAGTATGGAGATTTTATTTTCTCAATTTACTGTTCAGAGAGAAAACCATGGAAAGTTGCTGGATGAAAAGAATAATTTACCCAGGAGACAGTTGGCTACAATAGGTTAGAGTGTCAAAATAGATCGTTATGCCTCATACTCACATCACAGGGCAGTCTGTAGCAGAAAACATTCTTTGCACAGATGGACTGATATGTTGTGGCTGTGGGCGGGTTCTAAAGAGTGTGGGGTGGGTGTTTGCTTGCTGATGCAGTATGTGAAGATTATATTCAGTGTAGGAGATAAACAGTTGTGTTGCATAAGACCATACTGATGCAGACAGGGGAAGACAAGGCAGCAGACTTTAAGAAGGGAGGAGAAGCTGCAGATAGGGCTGCTGCCCTGCATCATCTGGCAGCTCAGTGATGTAAAACAAAGCCAAGAGAAAACACGCCTTTTAGAGTAGATGTTTAACACACTACAGATACTGTATATCAGAGATAATAGATAAAAGACAAAAATGTCTTTGACATTTACTATCAGAGGTTATCATACAATTCCAATTATATTGTGACACGGAAACGTATAATTTCATTAGCCCGCCTTTCTACTTAATCGCTGACATCACAGCTGCATCAGAATGTGTTTGAAAAACATGCTTTCCTACATGGAAAGGATATGCATTTTTATGTCCCTGTGTGTCTTCCAGTGCCTCCAAGGCTGTTATGTCTTTTGGCTACATTTTACATTAACAAAAAAGATGTTAGTCATCCTATTAACCGCCCCTGGGGTGTTATGACCTTAGATTTGTTGACAGGGATCATTTCTTCACTGAATAATCAACCAGCTACCTTACTTGGTGACAGTGATGATGCTTTCTAATCTAATAATTTTAAAATGACCATTTCACTTATATATTTAAATAAATAAATCATTCAGTAACAGACTACAATATCTACTAACAAGCCATGTGTCCTTTATTGAAATTGCAATATACTGATTTGTTCGTATTCTTCTTCAGCTCAGTATTTTGCTAGCACCATGATGATTGTGGGATTGTCGGTGGTGGTAACTGTTCTGGTTCTGCAATTCCACCACCATGACCCCCACGGAGGAAAAATGCCTAAATGGGTGAGTTCAATAAGGGGAAAAAAGAGACAATTTAATTACAGTATTATTTCAATAACCACCTCTCTAAAACTGTTTCCAAGCTTTGATGTGCCCCTCTTTAGAAGTTGAAAAAGGTTAGTTCTTGCAACAAAAAGGGTACGCATCATTAGCACAATAACAATAACAGATCCTTCTTTGTTTAGTAAAAAAAAAAAACCATAAAAAAAAAAATTGACTCTCCTTAGTTTCACATCATATTTTTCACCTGACAACCACTGCTCTAACATAATGCATAGAGGTACAGCCGCTGAGCCAGTATAAGTCCATTTTATTTTCGAGTTTGTTTGTGTAAGGACATGACACCAAGATCTTACACAATGATTAAAGGTACTTTTTAAAACTATACTCTGCAAAACTTTTCTTAAACCCTTTACCACTTGAGGCAACATTTTAAGAGTGGCTGTGAACAAGTCATTTCTGATGTATCCTTCTATTATCTTTTGATTTTTTCCTTTTAGTCCTGCTCTCATTCTCTTAAGAAGCTTTGCCTTTTTGGTAGGCCACCAAATAAATGCAAGAAATAGAAATTTTCAGGATGAAATCATACCAACTGTTGTTTCAATTCTGTTGCTAGCTTTAGTCATTTTAGAAGATTTTAGACTATTTTTTTGGTAAGTGTCAATTAAACTGTAAACTATGTAGATTCTCTGTCATCCAGGTCATGGTAGTCTAAGGAACACTTTCCAGTGTAAATTAACATATCAATCCAATCTTTCCACCTTCTTTCCTCCAGCTAAATCTCTATCTTTCTTATTTCTTTCTTTCAGGTCCGAGTCTTTCTTCTCAACTGGTGCGCTTGGTTCCTCCGTATGAAGAAGCCTGGAGAGGAAAGCAAAACTCCAGTGAGCTCAAGCAGTCCTCCAACTTATAAGTACTCCCATTCTCCTGCTCACCACACTAGCACCACCAGCATTCAGATGAGCACCATACCAGGGCAGCCATCCACTCAGGCAACAACAACCAATGGAAACATGAACCTATACTTTAGCTACCACTCAATGGGCACAGACAACCCTGTGTTTCCACCTAGTGTTGATTCAGGTGTGATTGTGTGCGGTGGTGGAAATGGAGGTGGAGGGAATCATCATAACGGTACCTCCCAGCTTGACATCCACTCAGACCAGACACGGACTTTGCTTTTGGAGCAGATTCCCGAAATTTGCCGGATTTTGGAAGAAGTGCAGTACATTGCGAATCGCTTCAGAGAGCAGGACGAGGGGGAGGCAATCTGCAGCGAGTGGAAATTTGCAGCTGCAGTCGTGGACCGGTTATGCCTGGTGGCCTTCTCGCTGTTCTCCATCATCTGCACCTTCACTATTCTCATGTCAGCTCCCAATTTCATTGAAGCCGTGTCAAAAGACTTTACGTAAGGCTGCTCTCTATCATCACTGACAGATAAAAACTAACAGTAGAAATTCTGACACAATTAGACCTGCACCACACAAGCCTCTCTTGTACTTTTATGTGAAGACACACAAGCTCAAGTTAATTTAGAATTGATATCACCATAGATCAGTACCCAGCCTTTACCCCTCTCATTACACGTTTGTTGGTATATAGCTGGGGTAATGTGTTTTTTCCCTGTGAAGGTTCCTCTTTAGCTTACAACATACATACAGGTACATAGGAAGTTGAAGCAACATGTAGTAGTTAATGATGTAGAAAGTCAGACTGATGCACTTTTCTTCTGTATCCCTGCTGCACCACATCATTTACTTGCCACCATTTGAGCGTCACGTCTCATCAGAATTCACTCTTTCCCTTACAGCTTTTCTTTTCTCTTAATTTTAGAATTTACACATCCTGTCTTCACTCCGTTTTCTAGAGATGTCTTACCTAAACAACTTCAGCAGTTACATATATAGTACAGGGTTTTACAGGTGTATTCTTGTAATGCATTTGTTCTTTGTATTTTATAAATAAATCCACATTTTACAGTGCAATCTGGTTAAGCTGAAATTGATTTTTTAATGAGTTAGCAAATTCACTGAGATCTACTGAAATTATACATTTCACTAATCTGAGGTGTGAAACTACTGAGTATTTTCATTTTAGATAAATATACCATTTTCCCTCGCTAACTGAAATTTGATTTAAAATTTCAATTCAACTCAATTTTATTTATATAGTTGTCCCCTCAAGGTGAAAATGCCCATTATAATTTCCCACAGCCTGACTTACAACTGTATCTGATTCATTACAACAAAGAAAGCCAAATAATTTCTTTATACCTTCATTATTACTCTTCCTTTTACAAATGGAGCTATTAGTCTAATATATATTACAGTTTTTCTCGATTGCTTAAACACTTTTCTTGAAACTATGCCTCGTATTCTCAAAACAGTAAACACAAATCCATAACGTCTCACTCAATTTCCCGAAAATTGTATTTTCAGGTCAAAATGAAGCTCTACACTCAAAACCATTCACTTGCTGAAAAAATAAATTTTGCCCACAGACATAACACACAAGGCCTCAAACACACACACTACAACATAGTCTTACACATTGGTGCAATAAATTAAAAACAATATTTCCAGAACTGGCAAGTCATGTTGCTTGTGGTTCTTCCCCTCAAAAACCTTTTCACATCATGAAAACAAAAGATCCAATGTACATACAGTGTAGGGCTGGGCGATATATCGAGTTTTTGAAAAATATCGATATATTTTCATACGAGATATAAGATGTGACAATATCGTTTATATCATATAGTCTATGTTACGTTATAATTATACTTATGGAGCCGCAGGTTTGCCTCTCTTTCGTCCACTTTTGTCTCTACGCAACGTCACTCGGCCTCGCCTCTCCTTCACTGAACACAACTCCCCCTCCCCCATAGCTTCACCTGCAGGCAATGACAAGATGAAAGCGGAAAATCTCCGTTAGCGAGTTACCTCGGATCGCCCCGTGCGTGGGGCTGGACGGTGTCAACGTGTTAGCGAGCTAACCGCGCTAACGAGCTAACCGCGCTAACGACATGCAGCCCGGAGGAGCTGCACGGCCTAAAATCCTTTCATTTTCTCAAAAACCGACAGTGCGCCTTATGTATGAATTCTGGTTGTGCTTACTGACGCGAACCGATTTTATGTGGTACACAGCGCTCAGCAATCTGTCAAAAAATGTTTTAATATGACTTTGCTAAGCTACGGAGCTGCACCACTTGATGGATTGTCGGAGGATTACGGCTACCGAGGAGGATCCTCGCGGAGTGATACGTACTGTGTGTGTATAAGGACCACAAATGGCACCTGTTCAGAGACGTGGTGCAGCTGTGAAATCTGTCTCTTTGTTATTACGCTCAGCGTCTATTAGTTTACATTTTGATTGCACAATTGTGAGCTTTTTGTTATGCACAAAAACAACATTGTTTTCTTTTATTTATGGACCATGATTATTTAATGAATGCTGATAATTTATTTTTGAGTAATTTCTTCATGTACATCTACGCTGTATGTAAATAAAAGTGCCCATGTGACATCTGGGACACAGTGTGACTAGAACTCTCTTTTTGTTCTTAACTTAAAACTTAAAACTTTAAAAAAAATATTGAGATATATATCTTATATCGCCATCCAGCTAAAAAGAGAGATAAGAGATAAGAGATAACTCTTTATTGTCATTGCACAGTCATACATAGTACAGTAGTACAATGAAATTGGAAAAACTGTCCTACGTCGGCACTACATATAACACAACACGACACGATATGACACATCACAACGTAACAAACAACACAACACAGTATATTAACTTAGTATAAAAAGAAGAATAAGTGTATGTGTATTGCACACTGTTATTATTGCACATTAATTATTATTGCACCTTGTTATAAATATAAATATTATTGTTATCGTTTTAAACATTGTAAACTCCCCCTAAAAAGTCCAGGGAGGTATCCAGTCAGGTCAGCTATTTACATTGATCAGGGCTATTGCCCTGTTGTAAAAGCTGTCCTTGAGTCTATTTGTTCGGGACCTCAGCAGCCTGAACCTCCTGCCAGACGGCAGCAGCTTAAACACCCGGTGTCCTGGGTGTGTGCAGTCCCGTAGGATGCTGCGTGCCCTCTTGAGACAGTGAAAAAATATCGAGATATGAATTTTGGGTCATATCGCCCAGCCCTAATACAGTGGCACATTTTTATTCATGTACCATACAGTACAACACACAGCAAAAACATTATTCCACCTGCAGCATCCTGTCTGTGATCTGGGTCAGGTCCGGGAATCTCATCCACATCACAGGCTATATTGACCCTGGCCAGGCAGCAGGGGTAAAATCCTCTCACATGCCTGATCCACCGCTGGCATGCATCTACTGATATGTATAGGCAGGCTTCTTCCACGACCCGGAGGAGGTGAACACGGACATAAGGTTCTCTGTCATACACTTTCTACCGCCACGCCGAAAATAACTCCTCCATCGGGTTTAGAAAGGGAGAGTATGCAGGCAGAAAGATGTTAGAAAACCTTGGGTTATTGGTAAACCAGTCATGAACCAGAGCAGTGTGATGGAAGCTGACATTACACCAAACAACAGCATAGTGAGGCTGCTCTGGCTGTGCTGGTTCACTGTAGTCCCGCTGGAACATATGCTGTCTTACACCATCAAGAAAAGCAAGCAGAAGCATAGTGTTATAGGGTCCTAGAATGGCATGGCGGTGGATTAGCCCTTGTTGGCTGATGGCTGCGCACAGAGTGACATTCCCTCCACGCTGACCAGGTACATTTACAATAGCCCAATGGCCAATTATGTTCCTCCACCTCCTCCTTGGTGTCCTAGACCTCCTTTTCCTCCTCAACCTCTTCCTTTGCATCTCTTTGAATCCATTGTTTCAAACCTGAATGAGTTTCCGATTGGTGTGTGATAAATTTTGACTCGTAGTGTTTCCACTTGGTTAATTGTGTGCTAATTGAGCTCAAGCTGTGCTGACTTAAGTTAACATTATTGAATGCAAGCGCTTTCTAAATGGCCACATGGTATAAGCACTGAAAAATGTAGGGATTTGTGTGTAGAGTTTTGCAGTAACAGTTCCCCACATCTGACTCATGTGTTAAAGCAGGGGGATAGTGTTTAAAGTTCAGGGAAATGGGTGTGCTTTTTGAAAAATAGCATTATGGTTTTGAAATTTGAGTTCAAAAGATTGGTTATAGTGTTTAAGCAATCGAGAAAACCTGCAATACATCGCCTGCCCTTTATAAGGTTTATTTACTGCAGACAGAAGAACACAGAATACGTAGGCACCAAAATGTTAATATACCTCTGCTAACCCTGCCTTACAGGCCAAATCTTACCAATCTCTGCTTCTCCACAGCAACCCAGTCTGTCAGTGGCAGTTCATTTAAACTATAGGAATGATTTACCAGACACTGGAAAAAATACTCAGTCAACATTACTGTTTTGAAATGACATTAAAGCGACAAATTAATACTACCGGAACTTTTCTGTGACTGAAAACTTAACTTTTCAGGGCAGTTTATTAAAGTGTCACTTCATTACATCCATCCCTTGTGTTAATACAGTATAGTTTTGTTAGCATATGATGCACTATTTGTAAATCACTCACACTCACTTACAGTGCAATTTTTCCTTGGGTAGTAAATTCATCTTTGTTTATTTGTGTGAGCTAGACATGTTTTTGTATTCTCACACAGAAACTCACAATACAGAAAGAGAATATTTTGAAATCTATTCTGAGATGTGCATTTAGTACTCTTTTGTAGTGGTGAGTGCTTTGTATTTTACTCTCTAATGCTCAGTGAAAGGCAAACACTTTTCTTCCCTAATCTCTAGTGACAACATGTAACAAGAATTACTGGGTGACTTGATAGAACAGATTTTTGTTCAACTTTGTCTCTTTTCGCCCCCTGACTGTCCTCTGATTCCAGGGGGCAAAAGACATGAGTGAATTCCCATTTTAAAAACCCACATAAATTCACAGCCTTTTTCCACCAAGCTATTGGATATTTTAAATGGTGTTAAGTGGGGAAACTAAAGAAGAATGAAGCAACACCATACAGTATACCACACAGCGATTGCAGAAATACTCACTGAAATGGAATTCATGCTGTTACAGTTAATCAATGCACTACGTACAGACAAACAGCTTCCAACTGCTGTCGACCTTTTATGCCACTAAAGCACTGTAAACAGTTTGTTATGTCCAGTCATAATAGACATGAAGCAAAAGGTGAAGCCAATGAAATGTACAGTGTTGCTTTATTGCCAATTCTTTTGTGCGAACTTAAGCTGCATTCAAAAATCTACTTTTCTGTGACCAGGGATTTGATGTTTTTACTTGCTTTAAATGTCACAAATATGCTTTTAAAAATAACACGGAGTAGTCTTATAATCTTTAAATGAACAGGCAGACATTTGTTTCAAACAGATCAAAAGATGAATACCACTTTCACATCTGTGTAATAAAGGAGCTATAGTCAGTGCTCTGGAGTTATCTTAAGCTACCTACATGCTGATGGTAACTTACTTGACTGACATATTTCTGTCTAACTCAGAGAAACAAATCCATTTTTTACCAAGTTGAACAATTCCATTAAATATTGGTCAGTGTTCTAATTGTGCACGGTCCTAGCATATTCCAAATTGTACAGTATTTGCTTAAATATGAATCCAATCATAGATGATCTGATAACAAAACATTTATTGGGATTTATTGGAAATGCCTGCAAATGTCCATGCAGATAGAAGTGGGAAGGTATCACAAATGTGCTCCATCTCACCTACCAACGTGTTGGAACATACAGATGCAATAGTTCATATGAGGCATGAATTGAAAGGTTGCATTAGAAGAAATAAAACCATGTCAAGAATTGTTTAATGTAAAAGACAATGCAATTTACAATTCAATATATTGAAGTTCACCCACACACTAAAGGCTCGAATTGCAGTTTTTTAAAGGTTTAATTCTGCTGAATGATTTTGACAAGTATAGCTAAAAATGAGGATGTGGCAGTTTACTTTTTGCAATGCTTTTGAATTTGTCTGTTGCTTTTAATGGTTTTTAAACTGACAATGTTGTATTTTGGTCAACTTGAGTGTCTTATTCTTTGTAGTCTGTGCCTCAGTATCATTCAGAGTCATTCTACGTTGAATAATGTACATAAATGCTCAGTGTACATCACTATTTTGAGAAAAATAAAGGAGTGACTAATAATTATTGGCATTTCACTTGCTGACATGCTACAATTCATGAAATTATATAGTTTGATTAAAATGTTACCACCAGAATTTTCAATCAGTCATGATGAATTCTGGAACCGACTGGAAGTGGTCATTACTAGGTTGTTTTTTGCAATCTGAAGAGTCAGTGAAATGACAGCTTGTCATCTAATATGCCTGCCTAATCACAAGTGACTTCTATGGTATTGTTCACACAGTTTTATAAAATGTCATATTTCACTGACAGAATAATATATTATTTTTTTTCTCACAATAAGCTCTAACAAAAGAGTTCAAAATTTAGAAAAATATACACACAATCAGGTTCATAAGTATTTGAACAATGCAACCAATAATGGGTTCTGTATACCATAACAGTCGATTTAAAAAAACAGAAAACCAAGATGTGATTAATGTGCAGACTTTCAGCTTTAATTTAAGCAGAGATTTAAATCAGGTGGTAATTCCAAATACTAAACTTTTGTAGCCCTTCGTTGGTGCTTTTAAAATAAGGTCCAGACAGATGCTGATGCAACTGAAAAAGGCTATCATTACCCTGAAAAATAAATCTTATCTATCAGACAAAACAGCAAAACTGGGTATATTCTTAAAAAGCCATGCACTGGGTAGCTCATTAACAGCCAAGGGCAAGAAAGACCACAGAAGACAAACATCTAAGTATTGAGACTGGGGGAAGTATGGAGAAGGGAAAGAACACCTCATGATCGAAAGCATACAACAATATCAGTCAATCATGATGAAGCAGAGTGACCCACAAACAAATAGCAACTGAAGCCAACTACAGTAAAGGCCTAGCAGAGGCCAACAAGGAAGGTAACACAGCAATGGATGATTTTCCAGGTTTCATTGTCTAGTATAGGGCTGCCACGATTAGTCGACTAGTCATGATTACGTCGACTATCAAAATCGTCGACGACTAATTTAATAGTCGACGCGTCGTTTGAAGCTTTTGTAAGATCACAAAAGACGCAGGAATAAGTAGTAGGATTTAAGAGTGTAATAACGTACTGAAACAGAAGATGGCAGCACTGCATGTATAAGGATGCCAGCTGCCGTTAAACCCCGAAGAAGAAAAAGAAGTAGCTCTGTCCCAGAATTCATAGCGCAGCCCAGCTCAGTTTCCAACAATGGCGGTAGCTAGTTAGTTTTAATATTACTCTTATTATTCTTTCTGGGTCACAAAATAAACGTTTAACATATTTTCAAGCGAGAATGTAGCTGTGCAAACCTCAAATATCTGCTCAGTTTATCAAGACACCACATATTTTGAAAAGCACTCAAACGTCTGTTCCCCACTACCTCGATAGCTAGCCGGGGGCAAAGCTGACTAGAGCCGGTGAGAACCCCGGACTCCGGGCAAATCGTTTTCAAACCCACGGCCGTCTTTCGCTACTCGGGTTAAACATGATATGTAAGTCACTACATATGTTATAACTTAAAATGTTATTGTTTGGCTTTTTTTTTAGTATTTTATTTATTCCTGAGTAAATCGGTTTGGCTGAGATTAAAGTTACAGTTTTTACACAGCTGAATAAACGTCAAGCAGACAACTGATTATCAGAAGTGTGAAATGCTCGAGAATATACTCCGGTGTCCTGTTATATTTTAGATAGCAAGGAGTTTATTAAACTTCACCGAAACAATCTGCAAATTTCATTAAAATTTAATAAACTATCATCTTGCCTTTATTTTTAATTAGCACATACCTTAAACACTTAAAGCTGTAAGCTAATGATAGTTATATAAGAGCAGATGCATGCTCTGATTAGTCGACTAATCGCAAAAATAATCTGTGACTAGTCGACTATCAAAATAATCGTTTGTGGCAGCCCTAGTCTAGCATTAAACACAATTATCAAAACTAAAAAACTTTGTTAATTTTATAATTATTTTTAGCCTCTGAAAATAGGAGAATTTCTTTAAAAATGTCTGTAAACAGTTAATGTAAACAATTAATATCTTCGTTAAATCATTTAAATTAAACATAAAAGTCTGCACTACAATCATCTTGACTGCATGACTTGAATTGCTTGATTGCTGGACCGTGATGTCATACAATAATTCTATTGCAATAATATTGCAATAATTCTATTATTGTCCAAATATGTATGACCCTAACTGCATGTCTTCTTCATGACAGTGAGATCATGAAGCTTCACATGTGCAGTAAGATCCATGAAGTCAAGAGTCATTCAGCATAGCATAAAGGTTAAGCTGTGAACAAATCTAAATGTACCATATTTTTTGGATTATAAGGCGCACTATAGATTAACGGGTCTGTTTTCATACATATAATGCAGATTATAAGACGCATTAAGGGAAACAAAACAGTCAGATAAGTCAAATTTTACTCAACTCATTCTTCTTACTTCCTCCATTTCCTTACCATTAATTCATTAATGTTGAATTCTCTTGCAGCTGCTCTATTTCCATGTTGTTGCAGTATATTAATGACTAACCTCGTATTGTGGATGGGTTATCTCAGTTGTTCTCCTAACTGAAGTTTGGTTCGTTTACAGCATCCTGCCATGTGATTGCATTTGTTCCTAACCATTGGGAACCCTCATGTTAACTTTTATCGAGTCGAAAAAAGTTAGCATTCATCCTCCAGCTTCACTGTGTTTATGTTATGCTGACATTACATTATCCTAGCTGTGTCATTAGCGATCACATAGCACAGACCTTCCGAAAGTGTGGGGCCCGCCCCCTAGGGGGGACGCAGAGCCATTGCAGGGGGGGGGCGTAGCATGAAAAGGGAAAAAAAACAAAACAACCATTGGGCGCCCACACAAACGCAAAGCAGGAGATGAAGCATTGCTGAATATGTTTCCAAACCAACTTCATTCTAAGCCAAAGACTAGAAAATATGGTGAAGCATATCTTCCCTTCCCAGATAGCAAGGAAACATTGAAACAATGTTGAGTCAATATCAGGCTGTGTCATTGAACCAACGTTGAAGTGTGACGTTGACCTAACGTCATTCTTGCACCCTTTTTTAATGTTGAAACAACGTCAGGTTTTGATGTTGAATCAATGTTGAAACCTGACGTTGATTCAACGTTATATTTTCTAATACTGCTGACATTGAAACAATGTCAGATTCTGATATTGAAACACTGTTGAGCTATGGTGTTGATTTTCCGCCTCTTTCGCACAGTTGCTTTTTATTAAAACAGTTAAATCATGACTGGAAATCTACCTTTCTTTATAGGTATTTTAACCAATACTAAACTACTGCATGTTTCCATCAATACTTCAACCACCTAAACACATAATTGTACTTATTCCTTAAATTGGACACCCTTTATAAAAAAACCCCAAATGTCTCACAATGTATCATGTCAATATTAATATCCTAAAATAAGAAAGCATTGCATGTGATGTAACAGAGAAAAAAAAGAAACAAAAAAAGGGTCAATAGGCATGTTTCGTTTGCTAAATACTTTATTAAAAGACAGTTTCTGATTTACGTTTATATGATTCACAGAAGTTTGTAATTTTTTGCATGATGTGCGTCCTGCACCACCCAAACGATCTGGGGCGTATCGGAGCCATTTCTGCACTGCTTGTGCAAAGACTAACTCGGACATAGAGTTTGCCCCTAACTGCTGCGTCAGGCTCCAATCAAGGCAAAGCGTCTCACCTATAGACACATTTTAAGAGATGGAATTAGCGTGTCTCATGTCTTAAATGTGTATGCAAGTGCTTGTGTGTTTAATCAACAGGCCGTTGTTATGTATTTAAATCACATTTGAAAGCTATTACACTTTATAGTTACAAAGTGTACATAACCTTTATATACTTACCTTTGCCTTATTTGCCTCTTGTGATTGAAGAGCTGGCTCTGCATTGTTTAGCTCCTCAATGTTGTGCAAGGGCAAATCCAGAGGCAGTACCCCAGCATCTACCGATTCATTGCAGCCGGTATTGCGGATGGCTCTGACCTCCTCACGGAGTTCGTTAACAGCTCTCGTCAGGTCTGACAGAAAAAGAAATTTTTTTTAAGTATTTAAGAATACAGACAACTTGTCAAACGTTTCCTTGTGTCACACACAGATATGTACAAAGACACTAGACAGTATTTTATTACCTGGTATTTTCACTCGAGGGGCCTGGGGAAACCATTTTTTTTGTGGGCTGCTCATCCTCTGAGTCACTATATGTGTACAGGGGATTTGGTCTAAAGAAAAAAAGTTGAAAACGGTCATAAGTAATTACAAATGTGCTTTTGGAATATTTTTTCCTAAAGTTACAGTTTGATTTATAACAACACACACAGGAAACGGAGATGTGCAAGAAGGTACAGTATACAAGGAATTTTTGAATTGCACAAGTGTACACGGCTTTGCATTTATAAAAAGTTTACAAGCTTCCACTTTTTGGACTATATTATGTGGTGATATTGCAGTATGCAAGCACCACAGATATGTATAAAAGACAAGATCATAAATTCTTAGCAATCAAAGATATGTTTGTGAAATAAAAACAGTTTTACTTGTGCTTTCTTTTATGACTGGTCTGAGTTTCAGCTTCGGACTGAAGGTCAGACATATCACAGTGTTCACTTAGATATTTCTGAAGACTGCGTTCTGCTTCGTGAAATGTGTCTGGAAGTACAAACACAATGTATGGCCAGACATAAATTAGGACACGAAAAACTTGTTATTGTTACATTTATACAACACCAATCCAGATGATACCCACCATGGCTTATTAGAAGTCGGACTGGTGCATAGGTGAGCCATGTTGCACCAGGATGAACTCTCCTCTTTACTGCGTCGTGGATCCTGAATGTGTCTCACGGAGGATATGGAGGCCATGACAATTTCTCCCCATTTATCCATGATCTAGGGACTATTTCTGTACCACCAGTGCTAAACTGCACAATGCACCAGTCTTTCATTTTTATCTTTTTTTAAATTTGGAGTCCTTTTTTGCCCTGTCTAGGATAAACAGGAAACAGATAATTACAATATATTTCATAGTCACTACAAAACTTGATCTATTGATTGAACTAAATAATAAATAATAGCTTAAAATGTATATAGGCAACAATTACAAGCAAACCCGTATATGTAAGCATTTAAACACTGAAGATAATAAAATTAACAGTATTTTGTCTAAGTCTGCCATTGTAGGAATTCATGGCACCGAGACAAAAACTTGGCGCACAGTGTGGCGTCAAAATAGGCGCACACCTTTGACGCTGCGTTTTCTCCGTCTTCCTCGTCCACACGTAAATGCTAAACGCAGTTTACGTGCGGACAAAAGGTGCAAACGCAAGTTAGGTGAGCGTGCAGCGTAAAGTTTGAATTGAGTGCGAATCGAAGCGGGTGCTCTCCAATCATTAAAAGTAACAAAGTCATTGAACACCTTTATACAGTTACCTTTACGTTTATCAATCACAGATTTACAATTTTTTGTAGTACTATGCTAAAAAGCAACTACAGAGCGAAAGTCTGGGTCAAGCGCCGAGGCGACGGCAAGAACAAAGGAACCCTTGAAGCGTTAAAGCTAGCTTTGTAAGGAAATATAACAGAAAAGTATGAAACGAAATGTTTTCTTTGTTGATAGACTTTGTTTGCAGTGCAATTTATTTGTTGCCAGATTGTAAGATGAAAGTAGACAAAATTTCGGGCTCCCACATTTTATCCGAAACTTTACATTAACAAGTTTTTTTAGTTTTTTTTTTACTGTTATTCAAATGCAACCATGGAAATAACGAATAGAACAAAAGTCATTCATTCTTACCTTATACTAATCGTGGTGCAGGCCAGTGCAGTGCATGAACTGATGCCTTCTCCGGTCAATTCCGCTGAGAGTAAATCTAATGTCCCGCTCTACTGTACAAGACAATGGTTACCTGGAGGGATGTACCACTGAGAGGGGTGCTGCGGAATAGTCCAAGTGGTAGCAGCTTTAATTTCCCGCTCAACCATAAATCGATGGTTTTTCAACGTGATTGTTGTCACCTTGTCAACTATAAATAGATCAACAATCAACGATGACAGAACAACAGTGAATCAATGTTATTTCAATGTCAGTGTCAGGTTTCATCAGTATTTCAATGTTGTTTCAACATTGGTTTTGTGTTGACATTTCAATCCTGACGATTCTGATGGTTCAGATGGAAAATCAACATCTGTTCAATGTCTCCTTGCTATCTGGGTTTGGTTTCACCTGCACAAGTGCCAAGGTAGGTCTCCCCTGCAGAATTGGTTTTCCCTTCATTGGGAGCACAAGCTGGGCTCTCCAAATCACGGACAAACAGCATCCCACATTCGTGATTTTTAGTTCACAAACACTTCTTGTAATGACTAAACTACTCCTGACATTTTGGAGATGTTAGCTCTTTATACAGTAAAGTTACAGTGGGGTACAAATAATATCAGGCTGATCCTGCCACGATTTGTTCCCCCTGTCTAAATCATGGACAAACAGTATCCCACAGCTGTTTATGTTTTTAAACCCATTTTGCACAGAGAGGCATTTTTTTTTGAAAAATGTATTGATAGCAATGTTGAATATTATTACACAGGAAAAAAACAACTACATGTAAAATAATTACACCGTGATGCCTCTGCCTTTCTAAATTGAGGGACAGTAACTGCGTGTTTATATTTAAGCATGTAAAACCTGAAGATAGAGTAACAGTATTTTGTCTCTGACTATCTGCCATTCTGCAATTCCACTCATGTAAGCAATAACGTGGTGCACAGCTGACGTGAAAAAAGGCACATACCTTTGACGGTGCGAGACGAACTGTATTCCTCATCCACACCTAAACGCAAAAAATTAGTTTTAAAAAATCTCCGTTTTCGGTGATTCGAAACGCCGTTTACGTGTGGACGAAACAGCTGCGTTTTCAAAAAATACCCGTGTAGCGTAAAGAGTTAGTAGTTTATTTTCTTACTACCTGCAGATTACTTGTATTTGCTTAATTGTTTACTAAATGTTTGAGGTGTGAAATAAACCACAATTGAGCAAAATATGGGTGTGTGTGGTTGGAGGATGTGTTAGAGCGTGCGTGTGTGTGCGCGCGCGAGGGGGGGGGTGCGCGAACATTTTTCTGTAAAACAAAGGGGTGCGCAGCGAAAAAAGTTTGGGAACCACTGACATAGCACATCATTAAATACCAGCTAGTCCAACTTCAGTAACCTTACAAAAGTCACTGTTGTTTAGTTTTCTGTCTTCATGTATGTTGGAAGTGATAGCAGAGCTGTAAGTTTTATTTTTTTTCAGAAATCTCTCATTTAGAACATACCATATCAAGTTTAGGTGGAAACTAGGGAGCTAACTTCCTGCTAACTTCTAACTTCAAATCTTGCTAATTTTGTTAAAGATGAAAGAATTTAGACAGTTTTTACCTCTCATTGATGCCGCAGTGTTCGTTTTAATTTTGGGACCTGAAGTGGAAAGAGTTTTGGACCCAGATTACTCCGCTCCTGACTATGGTAGCCGTAATGCTCTGACAATCCATCAAGCAGTGCAGCTACATAGCTTACCAAAGTCGTACTAAAACATTTTTTGACAGATTTTTGAGCGCCGTGACCACATAAAATCGGCTTGAGGTCAGTAAGCACAACCAGAATTCATACACAAAGGCGCACAGTGTTATAAGGCACACTATTGATTTTTGAGAAAATTAAAGGATTTTAAGTATGCCTCATAATGCGGAAAATACAGTAATTAACTTGCTGCTGTGTCAAGCTCCTAGCTTCAATAGAGACATCCAGAACCACATGTTGATTTACATATGCCAGTATTGATAGATTTTTTTTTAAGATAAGAAATGACATTTTTTGACATTTCAAAACTCATGTTCGATGCAATGCAAAATTCAAAGATTCCCTGTTTTAGGAATAGTATTTCTAGGCTCAGGCTTCAGATTACTACACAAAATTGAGCCAGAACCTTCTCTGCACCCTGAGCTGATAAGTTAAACTAAACTCAGATATGTGAACATGTAACAAACATTCATCAGACAGTATGGTTCAGCAGCCTTCCTCATTTCCCAAGAGGAAGGAATGGAGGAAATAAACAAAGTCAGACAGTATCCAATCTCCTTACTGCCTATGATATTAGTCAGGACTTTCAGCAGCTTAGCACACACACAAACACACAGACACCAAATGCTGCTCAGCAGTGTGATAACATGTTCAAATTGGTCAAATCTAATCTCAGGCTTCACTGCACACATACAGACAGCTGTAGGTGGCTGGAATTGCACCCCACTGTATCACACCACAAACACATGGACCCCAACCTTCCATTTGCCAGCAGACCAAGGTGACAGACACAGTGTCATAACCTTTACCTGAAATTGTCCTGGAACAGGCCACTTTGGTTGTACTGGATGCTTGCACAGTTTTGGTGAGTAATGTTTTCTCTGTTTGGTGGCACTGTTGGTCTCAGGTAATCTGGAACACACCTCTGTGGGCTTAATAGTGTAGTTCAATATAAAGACCACACACCTAACATCTCCAGTGAGGTGTATGTATATGGTCCTAAACAGTTCTATGATAAAATGTTTTGCAACTTGCAGCTAAATAAATACAAGCTAACCTGAGTATTTTGAATAACTATTGTTTCTTACAATAATAAAATGCAATGCAATATAATGTCTTAATGCATCTCTATTATTTAGAATGCAAAAAGTCAAAAGTACTTACTGCATCCTGAATATGAGGAAAGCCAGCCTCTAGCCAATGATCTGAAAGTCACTGCTGTCGTGGATGTTTCATGAAGTAGTTTGCTTTTGAATAACCTGCATGACCTAGTAAGTCTAATCTGATCTCTGTAATCACGCATTTTCCATTCAAATGGCAGTTCTCAGCAGTATTAAAACAAATTGAACCCAGTGAGAACACAAGGCTTACCCGACATCAAGCTGTGCTGTCCATCATTGCTGACAATGGCTGGTAACACAAATGTGTTACCAGCCGTCCTCATTGTCTTACAGATGTGGCAATCAACCATGGATGTTTTTATGTTAAAATCTACACTTCACCTTGTCTATAACCAAGGAATAATAAAAATAGAAATAATAATAATTACATCCATGTTCATTTATTTCACGTATCAACCACTTTCTCTTCTCTCCAACTTAATCCAGAAGTATGGAAATGCATGTATATGTGTGTAGTGTGTAAAAAAATAAAAACATATAAATAAAATGCTCTTAATCTGATTTCAGGGTGAATGGGGTATATAATCTCATTTACTCCTTCAACCCTTTTCCATTCTATTCTTAACAAATGCTCTCATAGTAACACTACGAGTACAGTGCATATTCACAGTTATTCTTAGTGCATAATCTTGGCTCATAACAGAACTGATTGGGAGAAAAGAGGTTATTAAAGGAGGTTAGGAGGTCACATGTTGCTGTTGGCGATACATGAGAAAACCATGTATCGCATGTCGTAGTTGGAGGGAATTACACATGATTAAAACTAAATTGAAAGACTGCGGTTTCTAAATGAAGAAAAAATAAACATTTAACTTAAACTTCTGTTCAGGAGTTTCTGTAATTACAACCATGAGAAAGTGATTTTACTTAATGGCAATATTTCACTTCTGATCAGACATGTTCTGATAAAGTATATTTAAATGGCACCGCAAAGCAAGAAAACCCTAACCCTAACTGCAATAGCACATGAGAAGTCAGGCAGAACCTCATAAACTGGCAGTTAAAGTTCTCTCAGGTTTAAATCACTATTTTCCCCTTAAAGCAGTCAGGGGTGAATGGTGACAGTTACCATTTGCACTGCTGCTTTTTATTGCAGATGTTTTGTTGCAGTATATTATGTTGAATATAATGTCTCTGCTTGCTGTTATCAGATCAGTAAGGTGTGGAGAGGCAGTGTGTGTGACAGACACAGCCTGTGTCTGGCCCCTGCCCCAGTGCTG